GTGGCTTTAATGTCAGGTGGGCGGTGAACGAGATAAAAAAATATATTGTTTTAATATATATTTTAAAATTTCTTCATTGCTTACATATTCAACCCATAACATTCTTAACCATCGTCGGTAAAATCAAAAGATATATTGTTAAGAGATTGTTCAGTATTCATTGCCATATAAGAGATTAGATATTACATAGCAGTTCAGCACTCTTTTCTTTGTTTCTAATGACATTTTCCTATCTCTTAATACTTTGCTTAGTTTATGAAAGCCATGAGGAAATTGTCTCGCATTCACTGCCACATAAAAGATTAGATATTGCATAGCAGTTCAACACTATTTTCTTTGTTTCTTCTAACGACATTTTCCTATCTCTTAATACTTTGATTAGTTTCTGTTGACATTTTCTTAGTTCTGAATACTTTGCTTAGTTTTTTATAAAAGGCATGAGGAGATTGTCCAACATCTACTGCCATATAGGAGATTAGATATTACAAAGCAATTCAGCACACTTTTCTTTGTTTCTAACGACGTTTTCCTATCTCTTAATACTTTGCTTAGTTTATGAAAGGCATGAAGAGATTGTCCAGCATTCTCTGCCATATAGGAGATTAGATATTACGCAGCAGTTCAGCATTCTTTTCTTTGTTTCTAACAACATTTTCCTATCTCTTAATACTTTGCTTACTTTATGAAAGGCATGAGGAGATTGTCCAGCATTCACTGCCATATAGGAACCCTTTATCCATTACACTACCTGCATATCCTAGCTTACGGTACGTGGTATTCCCAAGCTGTACCCCATCTAGCAACTGACCAGGATCGGCGTTACCTAACCTCGGTGCCCGTAGAGGAACCGGTTTTTCAACTTTATATGGCCGTAAACTGATGCGAACTGAATTCCAATTCTTGATGGTTTTATTATATTCATGTACGCCCGAATTCCATTCTCCCCCAGTTATGGGTTAATTAATAAGATTTGAATTATTAAATCATTATTTTTTTCTAAAGCATTCTTACAATCGCAGATTAGTTTCTGGCTTTAAATATCCCGCAAAAGGTTGATAAGCCGTAAAAAGCAAATCAATAAATCAATTTTTTTCATATCGACTGTATGAAATTGAGGTTTCGAAATTTTGCATCCATCTTTTTTCATTTGTGGGTTGGTCTTCCGGGAGAGGTTGACTGATTGATCATCCATCTCCATATAGTCCTATCAATTACTTCTGTTTCCCATTGATGGTGGTTATGTCCACAGGAGACAAAGGTCCTTTGCATAGGGTTCTAGAGCCCCTTCAGTTAGTTACCATTGACCACAATCGTCTCTTCATAAATAAGAGTGCGCTTGGAAGACAATATACTCAATTCCTTTGCGGCATAATTTCGTCGTTTGTGGCAAACATACATTTCCAATAATTTAGTTTAATAAATAAATGTTTTTTTTTTTTTAAACTTTTAAACATTACCCACTTTCTTGTCAACGCACTTAATTTAGAGATAATTACGTTCGTACACCAAAAAGTCTATATCCTATTTATTAGAAAAATGCGTTTATTTTGCAAGAAAACTGTTTTTTCAATAATCTCCTTCATTCAATGATAAATATGTAGGTATATCAAAATGTTTGTAGCCAAAGTATTAAAAAACGTTTATTTGGAAAAGTAAATAATTACTTTTAAATATTATCCCGTTTCTTGTCAATGCACTTAATTTAGACATGAATATGTAGGTACATCAAAATATGTTTCCTATTTGTAAAAAAAAACAGTTTTTATTTTACACAAAAATAATTTTTCAACATGATCTTTTTTGTCAATGCACTTCATTCAGTGATTCCTATATAGGATTAAGACAAAATATCTTATTAACGGCTTATCAACCCTTTGTAAGTTATTTAAAGCCGTAATATATCTTTCATTGAACGAACAATTCATGTCCTGTTTACTTTTTTTACGATTTTTCCAGATACAGCTCCTACTATTTAACCTATAGCTTGGGGGATAAGGCATAGATTCATACCTTTGCCAACGGTATTTGCGCATGAATGAATGTCACAAACCTGACTGGAATTCGTACACATTGCTCATAAGAACAAACGCTTCATTGATATCCCCACCAAATATAACACATTTTAATCTATAAAATTATATAATTATTTATGTGTGTGTATACGTTTTGAGCCAACGATGTGCATGTAGTTGTTAGCAAAAGTATTCGCTTCTTTCTTTCTGTCTTTCTTTTCCGCGTGATGGATGGTCGGCACTGATATAGCGACGACTGGGCGGTAAAACTGTTTTTTTTCCTAATCATAGAAACAAGATAAGAACAAAAGGCCTTTCCACCGAGCGTATTGGCTGCTACCACTGAACTGAAGGCAGACGCCATTGCCACAAGAAAGTGAAAGGCGGGGTTGTAAGGATATCGTTGTAAAGAAAATAGCAGAGGGTACTGTTACCAAAATGAATAAACAACAGCAACAATAGAAAAGGACTTCTTTTTTTTTAAATGTATTGTGTTGAAACAATGTACGGAAGCGTAAGTGGGTATCGGTCGGCGGCCAAAGAACGAATATAGTTACCGGGATTTGGGATATAGTTAATGAAAATGAAAGCGAAGAATTTTGGCGCGAAACGACACGAACAGTCACGGAGGAAACCGGGATTCAAGGGTTAGATAAAAAAAAAAACCTTCTATATGGGGAGAAGTGGAAATAAAGAAAGAAAATAAGGTATGGAAGGGAATACAAGATTAATGTAGTGAAAGAAAGAAAGAAAGAAGGAAAGAAAGAAGGAAGGAAAGAAAGAAAGAAAGAAAGAATGTATTATGAAGGTAGAGAGAATGAATGAAAATAAATTATTAAGAAAGAAAGAAAGAAAGAAAGAAAGAAAGAAAGAAAGAAAAATAGATTATTAAGAGATACAGAAAGAAAAAAGAATGAAAAAATTGATTATCACGAAAGAAAAAATGTATTAAGATAAGAAGAAATAAAGAAAGAAAGAATGCATTATTAAGACAGAAAGAAAGAAAAAAAAAAAAAATGGATTATTAAGAAAGAAAGAAAGAAAGAAAGAAAAAAAAAAATGGATTATTAAAAAGAAATTAAGAAAGAAAAAAATGAAAAAGCTAAAAGAAAGAAAGAAAAAATGAAGATTTAGATCAAGAAAGAAAGAAAATAGAAAAAAAAAAGAAAAAAAGAAAATGGATTATTAAGAAAGAAAAGAAAAAAGAAGAAAATTTATTAAGAAAGAAAGAAAAAGAAAGAAAATGGATTATTAAGAAAGAAAGAAAAAAAAAGAAAGAGAGAAAGAAAAGAAAATGGATTATTAAGAAAGAAAGAAAAAAGAAAGAAAGAAAGAAAGAAAGAAAGAAAAATATTTTAAAGCTAGAAAGAAAGAAAAAAAAAGGAAGAAAATTAGATGGTTGAAAAGAAAGAAAATAGATTATTAAGAAAGAAAGAAAAGAAAAAATGGATTATTAAGAAAGAAAGAAAAAGAAAGAAAATGGATTAAAGAAAGAAAGAAAGAAAGAAAGAAAGAAAAGAAAATGGATTTTAAGAAAGAAAAGAAAGAAAGAAAGAAAATGGAAAAAGAAAGAAAAAGAAAGAAAAAAGGAAGAAAATTAGATCATTGAGAAAGAAAGAAAATAGATTATTAAGAAAGAAAGAAAAAAAAAAAATGAAAAAAGAAAAAAGAAAAAAGAAAAAATGGATTATTAAGAAAGAAAGAAAAAAAGAAAAAGAAAATGGATTATTAAGAAAGAAAAAAAAAAGAAAAGAAAGAAAATGAAAAGAAAAAGAAAGAAAAAAAAAAAGGATTATTAAGAAAGAAAGAAATAGAAAAGAAAGAAAGAAAGAAAGAAAATGGATTTTAAAGAAAGAAAGAAAGAAAGAAAGAAAAAAAAGGAAGAAAATTAGATCATTGAGAAAGAAAGAAAATAGATTATTAAGAAAAGAAAGAAAAAGAAAGAAAAAAAGATTATTAAAAAGAAAGAAAATTGAAAAAGAAAATGGATTATTAAGAAAAAGAAAGAAAAAAGAAAGAAAAAAGGAAAGAAAAAAGAAAATTAAAGAAAGAAAATTAAGAAAAGAAAGAAAAAGAAAAGAAAAAGAAAAAAAGAAAAATGGATTTTAAAGAAAGAAAAAAAAAAGAAAGAAAAAAAGAAAAGCTAATTAGAAAGAAAGAAAAAGAAAGAAAATAGATTATTAAGAAAGAAAGAAAAAAAAAAAAAATGGATTATTAAGAAAGAAAAAAAAAAAGAAAATGGATTATTAAGAAAAAGAAAGAAAGAAAAAAAAAGAAAAAAATGGATTATTAAGAAAGAAAGAAAGAAAGAAAGAAAAAAGAAAAAGAAAAGAAAAATGGATTATTAAGAAAGAAAGAAAAAAGAAAAGAAATGGATTTTAAAGCTAGAAAGATAGAAAGAAAAAAAGGAAGAAAATTGGATCATAAAATAGATTATTAAGAAAGAAAGAAAAAGAAAGAAAATGGATTATTAAGAAAGAAAGAATAAGAAAGAAAATGAATTATTAAGAAAGAAAGAAAAAGAAAGAAAATGGATTATTAAGAAAGAAAGAAAGAAAGAAAGAGAGAAAGAAAAGAAAATGGATTATTAAGAAAGAAAGAAAGAAAGAAAGAAAATGGATTTTAAAGCTAGAAAGAAAGAAAGAAAAAAGGAAGAAAATTAGATCATTGAGAAAGAAAGAAAATAGATTATTATGAAAGAAAGAAAAAGAAAGAAAATGGATTATTAAGAAAGAAAGAAAAAGAAAGAAAATGGATTATTAAGAAAGAAAGAAAAAGAAAGAAAATGGATTATTAAGAAAGAAAGAAAGAAAGAAAGAGAGAAAGAAAAGAAAATGGATTATTAAGAAAGAAAGAAAGAAAGAAAGAAAGAAAGAAAATGGATTTTAAAGCTAGAAAAAAAGAAAGAAAAAAGGAAGAAAATTAGATCATTGAGAAAGAAAGAAAATAGATTATTAAGAAAGAAAGAAAAAAGAAAAAAATGGATTATTAAGAAAGAAAGAAAAAGAAAGAAAATGGATTATTAAGAAAGAAGAAAGAAAGAAAGAAAGAAAGAAAGAAAGAAAGAAAGAAAGAAAAGAAAAATGGATTATTAAGAAAGAAAGAAAGAAAGAAAGAAAGAAAATGGATTTTAAAGCTAGAAAGAAAGAAAGAAAAAAGGAAGAAAATTAGATCATTGAGAAAGAAAGAAAATAGATTATTAAGAAAGAAAGAAAAAGAAAGAAAATGGATTATTAAGAAAGAAAGAAAAAGAAAGAAAATGGATTATTAAGAAAGAAAGAAAGAAAGAAAGAAAGAGAGAAAGAAAAGAAAATGGATTATTAAGAAAGAAAGAAAGAAAGAAAGAAAGAAAATGGATTTTAAAGCTAGAAAGAAAGAAAGAAAAAAGGAAGAAAATTAGATCATTGAGAAAGAAAGAAAATAGATTATTAAGAAAGAAAGAAAAAGAAAGAAAATGGATTATTAAGAAAGAAAGAAAAAGAATGAAAATGGATTATTAAGAAAGAAAGAAAGAAAGAAAGAAAAGAAAAATGGATTATTAAGAAAGAAAGAAAGAAAGAAAGAAAATGGATTTTAAAGCTAGAAAGATAGAAAGAAAAAAGGAAGAAAATTAGATCATTGAGAAAGAAAGAAAATAGATTATTAAGAAAGAAAGAAAAAAGAAAAGAAAATGGATTATTAAGAAAGAAAGAATAAGAAAGAAAATGGATTATTAAGAAAGAAAGAAAAAAAGAAAGAAAATGGATTATTAAGAAAGAAAGAAAGAAAGAAAGAAAGAGAAAAGAAAAGAAAATGGATTATTAAGAAAGAAAGAAAGAAAGAAAGAAAGAAAATGGATTTTAAAGCTAGAAAGATAGGAAGAAAAAAGGAAGAAAATTAGATCATTGAGAAAGAAAAAAATAGATTATTAAGAAAGAAAGAAAAAAAAAGAAAATGGATTATTAAGAAAGAAAGAAAAAGAAAGAAAATGGATTATTAAGAAAGAAAGAAAGAAAGAAAGAAAGAAAGAAAGAAAGAAAGAAAGCAAGAAAGAAAGAAAGAAACAAAGAAAGAAAGAGACAAAATTGGATTATTCAACGTAAAGAATGGAAGAAATAGACTCTAGGTGATTAGTAGTAAAAAAAATAACGAATATAAAAAAGAATGAAAGAAAGAAATATAGGATCATTAGAAGAAAAAGAAACTAACAAATTGTTCGAAATAACAAATCAAAGAAAAAGAAAGAATGAAAGAAAGAAAAATAAGATTATTAGAAGAAAAGAAAGAAATTAAAATCGCCAAGCTAATTAAAAGATAACAGAAAGAAAGAAATAAAAATTGAATTGTGAACACAAACCTGAATAAACTTACAAAAATACAATCTACTAAAAAAAATACGCCTAGCTAAATGAAAGAAAGTAAAAACAAAGAAAGAAAAAGAGGCAGAAAAAAACTGTATGATTAGTAGTAAAAAGAAAGAAGGAATGAAATCAGAAAGAAACAACTGGAGGATTAGTAGTAAATAAAGACGAACTAAAAAGAAAGAAAGAAAGAAAGAAATAGAAAAAAGCAAAAAAAAAAGCAAAAGAGAAAAAAGGATATTACACAAAAAAGAAAAAAAGGAAATAAGAGAGAGGAAAAGAAAGGAAGAAAGAAAGAAAGAAAGAAAGAAAGAAAGAAGAGTAAAAAGAGGAAAGGATGACATGAAAGTGTAAATAATTAACTACCAACAAAGAAAAGGAAATTAAGAAAGGAAGAGACTGAAGAAGAAGAGAAAAAAAAAACAAGAGTAAACATGCGAATAGAAGATAGAAAATGAAAGAAAGAAATCGTGTAAAAGAGAAACGAAGAAAGGAAGGCAAAGAGTTTAAAGAAGAAAAACGAGATGAAGATAAAAAAAAAGGAAAAAGAGCGGAATAAAATAATAAAGCAAGATGGCGAAAGAAAAAAAAGAAAGTACTCAAAAGAAGGAAAGTATTTAATTGGGGGAAGATTGAAGTGTTTAAGCGGGGGAAGAAAGAAGTCTTTAACTGCAGGATGAAAGATGTGTTTAAGCGGAGGAAGAAAGAAGTGTTTAAGCGGAGGAAGACAAAAAAAAAGGAACGCACTCAAAAGAAGGAAAGTGTTTAAAATAAAAATAAAAAAAGGAAGTAGAGGATAAGTGAAGTAAAAGATGGAAGATTTAAACAGTAGTATAATAAATGAGAAACTGTTCAAGCGAAGAAAGAAGTGTTTAAGCGGAGGAAGAAAGAAATGTTTAAGTCGAGGAAGAAATAACTATTTAAGCGGAGGAAAAAAGGCGTGTTTCAGTGGAGGAAGAAAAAAGTGTTTAAGCAGAAGAAATAAGTGACCGAGTTCACAATGAAACAAAGAAAGAAAATGTGATTGGCTTAAGAATAAAAGAATAAAGATAGAGAAAGACAGGTGAACAAAGAAAGAAAGAAAGAAAGAAAGAAAGAAAGAAAGAAAAAAAAGAAAGAAAGAAAGAAAGGGATTGGGTTAAGAATAAAGATAGAGAAAGACAGGTGAACAAAGAAAGAAAGAAAGAAAGAAAGAAAGAAAGAAAGAAAGAAAGAAAAAAGAAAGAAAGAAAGAAAGAAAGGGATTGGGTTAAGAATAAAGGGAAAACAAAGAAGAAGAAGAAAAAAGAAGGAAAGTTTTTTTTAAGTGAAAAAGACGATATTCCTGAGATTAATAAGAGGAAGACATTTTTAAGAGTAGAAAAAAGAAAGAAAGTTTAAAGAGTAGAATTGAAAGAAAAAGTTTTTAAACGAAGAAAGAAAGAAGTGAATGAATGATAAATAAGTGATTAAGAAGATAAGAAAGAAAGAAAGAAAGAAAGAAAGAAAGAAAGAAAGAATTGTTTATGAGAAGAAATAAAATGTTTCTGGTTTTAATAAAAGGAAGAAAATTTTAGGTGACGAAAAAAGACAGAAACAATAAAGAGAAGAATCATGATAAAAAAAGAGGGTTTTTAGAGAAAAAAGAAATAAGTGCTTTTTTTTTAAGCGTTTCACCCCAAGCAAGGCAGGAAGCCACTAGGATGCAAGGGGTTACAGAAAATTTGGAGCAAGATCATATAGGAGTGATAGAAGAAAGGATGAGGAGAAGGATAGTGGGTAGATCAAGGCAACTGGAGATGTCGATTGACATTACATTTGAATAGCTGGAGATTATAGCTCTCAGGAAAACTGGAATAGGGAAGGGAGTTCCACAGGCGAGAGGTGCGAGACACGAAGCTATTGGAGTAGAAGAGACGGCTACATTTAGGAGTTTCGACAGTGAAAGGGTGAGAGCGGGATGCCAGCCTCGTAAGGCGCTTGAATTCATGAAGTCTGGGAACCAGCGAATGCAGCTCCTCGGAGCAATTGCCATGAAAGTATTTGGTTTAGAGAGGAATAAAAGAAATGTTTAGGAGAAGGATAAATTGAAAGAATAAAGCGTTTAATTGAAAAAATAAAAGATAGAAAAAGAAAATAATAAAAAAAGAAGTGTTTACAAGAAAAATAGACGAAGTGTTTTAAGAAAAGAACAAAAAAAGAAAGAAAAAGTGTTTAGGGAAGGAATACAATCTTAAAATAGGCGAGAGAAAAGAATGAAACGTAATGGTGGAATACAGTTAAAATAATCAATGCTTGAAGAATGAAAAAAGAAATGAGAAGCAAGCAGCAGACATCAAAACAGATAAATGAAACAAAAATACTGATAAAAAATAAAAACAGAATAAACGGAAAACGATTGGGTTTTAAAATTACTATGAAAAGGGAAAAAGTATTCCACGCAAAATATTAAAACAAGAAAGTAAAGAAATAAAAAGAATAAGAAGGAGAAGAATAAAATAAAGATTGGGATATAAAACACTTTTGCCGTCGGCTCTTTCCCCAAGGACAAAATCGCCGGCGGTTAATGATACAAAATAAAACTGCCCAGGAGGAGACGGTGGAAGGATTGCAGACTTTTCGATCTTCTTGCTTACAAGGACATCGATTGAAACGGTAAACACTTCGTTGTAAGCACGTAACGAGTGACTACTGACAAAGACCAGCGTTCAACTAAAATGTAATCGAATCCCATTTACACACACCACACACACACACACACACACACACATATATATATATAAGTGACAGAAATTTTTGGAGGAATTCGAATAATCATTTATAGTGATTCATCGAGTCTCGAAGAATCCTCAACAGAAAGCAGTGGACAGCCGTTTCGTCCCATTTGGGATTCATAGGTAATGTGCATCCACTACAGAGAATCGAATCCAGACCATTATGATACAAGGCAAGCGTCATACAGCAAGACCAACGGTCCTTGGTGACGAGGAAGAAGCTGACTAGACTCGATAGAGCGCTATTACTCACTAAATTCCATGATGGTACTCATCCAAGTACTCGAAAACAGCACGTTGTGCTCCAGGAACCGCGCCTTTTTTTTTACCAGGCCGCTCCTTCCAGCAAGAATTTACAAGTGATAGATATCTGGGTGCTTTTGAATAATTATTTATAGTAATTCATCGAGTCTAGAAGAATTCTCAACAGAAAACACTGGACGGTCGTTTCGTACCATTTGGGATTCATTGGTAATGTGCATCCCTTAAAGCGAATCGAACCCTGACCATTACGATACATGGAAAGCGTCATACAGCTAGACCTACGGGCCTTGGTGACGAAGAAGTTACTGACTAGACTCGATACAGCGCCACTACTCATTAAATTCCGCGGTGATACTCATCCATGTGTAGGAAATCCAAAGGCTTCTGCCCTAAGAGCCACGTTTTCTTTCCCAAAGACAGTCCCCCAGAGCATTAGAAGCTGGATCAAGTAAGGATATACAAGTGATAGAAATTTTGGTTGGGGGGTTTGAATAATCATTTATAGTAATTCATTGTCTAGAATATATATATATATATATATATATATATATATATATATATATATATATATATTTAAAATATGTTTGAAACGGTACAAAAGCGTATTAACGCATTAAAAACAAGAAATTATATATTGTAGGCCATGATAGATTTAAAACAAAACACACACCAGTCGACCGGTTTCGTCCCCTCTCATCAGAACTGTTAACTGGGAACTAAAATTATGAGGAAAAAAAAGAAGAAAAGTCTGTCATGGATGATATGAATGAGTGGACAGGGAGAAAAAAAAATATTATAAAAAATTATACCAACCAAGATGCTAGAAGCGAAGCACAGCAAGTCCAAGCAAACAATCTCTTTGTTTGCAAAGAGCAGGTTGCCTGGACCTGATGTAAAGCGTCTCCAACACCTTAAGATGGAATAATGAGTGCGAACTGGCCAAAACGGAAAACCAGTTCACACTGAAATCCATTGCACAAGTGGGATTCTTTATAAAATGATCCGCAATCGAAGACACATACGTGTTACGAATGGTATCGCCAAAAGATAATTTTTTGTTCAGTATTATAGCAGGTACGTGTTGTTTAATTCTAACGTCCAACCGCTGTCTCGTTCTACCTATGTAATCGCATCCACAACTACATTTCAAATGGTAAATAACAGAATTAATATGGTGGGTTGGGGGTAGAACATCTTTACACATAGATGAAAGTACGGACTTAGTTTGAAAGACAACACGAACGTTCGCTGCAAAATAACACTCACGTGAACTACATGAAATACGCTTGGCGAAAGATTCACTAATCCTACCCAATCACGGTAAACGAAGATAGACCGGACATTTCCCCACTGAAGCAGGTTTGATTTTGTTGAACCTGGCTGTCTCATCTCGAATAACCGATTGAACAATGTTCAACGGATAACCATTATTCACAAAGATCTCAGTTAAACAACTGATTTCATGTTTCAAGGTGTCACCCGAACAAATCATTAACGCCCTATGTGTCAGGGTCCTAATCAAATTTATCTTTTTTCGTTTAGGACAAAAGGAGTCCCATCGAGTATATAGTCCTGTAAAAGTAGACTTCCTGAACACAGAGGTAATAAACGAGGAAGGAGTTCTTTGAACAAGAACATCTAAGAAGGGCAATGAACCATTGACCTCCTTATCTACTGTAAATTTAAGGGCAGGATGAACACCATTGAATACGAAAAAAAATTGATCCACTTCCGATTCATGGCTGAACACACAAAAAGTGTCATCCACATACCGAAAGTAAACCTTGGGTCGGGCAGAACTTAACAAAAGGCTTTCCCCATAAAACCCCACAAAAATATTTGCCAACACAGGACCCAAAGGGGAACCCATCGCTACACCATCGATCTGACGATATATGATATTGTCGAAACTAAAATCGACAAACATGGTGGAAAATTTCATTTTCAAGATTCGTTTTCTTTTTCCAAATTCATTCGGAATTGTGATGCCACTGATGGATTTATGTGTTCCTTTGACATCTGTAGCCTCTTCACTTGTGTTCCTTTATCGGAGACTATTGATATTTGCAGCGATATCTTATATCGTAGTGATTTGACTCCTCCGAATATACCTGGAGAAGTGTTCGTTGAACTCATGAAATTTGCCACCATGTTTGTCGATTTTATAATTTTTTATAATATTTTTTCTCCCTCTCCACTCATTCATGTCATCCATGACAGACTTTTTCTTTTTCTTTTCCTCATAATTTTAGTTCCCCGTTAACAGCTCTGATGAGAGGGGACGAAACCGGTCGACTGGTGTGTGTTTTGTTTTAAATCTATCATGGCCTACAATATAAAATTTCTTGTTTTTAATACCTTAATATATATATATATATATATATATATATATATATATATATATATATATGTGTGTGTGTGTGTGTGTGTGTGTGTGTGTGTGTGTGTGTGTGTGTGTGTGTGTAAGCAAATATATGGATATAGATCCGACAATATGAAGAAAAATATATACGGAAAAAACAAACAAAAATCCTCATATACAATTATGCTGTTTTAATGTTAATATATCAACGTCGGATGTTTCGGTCTAATAAATCATCTTCAGGACATATTCATAAATTATAACATTATCAATACAACATGACAACAAAGTCTTTGTCATGTTGTATTGATAATGTTATAATTTATGAATATGTCCTGTGCCGTCTGCATATCTATTGTTGGTAAGACTGTGGCTGCCAGTAATGTAGACAGAGCCGTAAAGCTAATATATGCTAAACAGCGCTCAGGAAGTCAGATCCAATTGGTAACTGTTACATGCTATTGTCATCGTAAGACAACTAGGTGTGATCGTCTTACGATCACCATAACGTGATACTCACAAGTACAATTTGGTCTTTATTTATCTCTTTCTCTTTCTTTCTATCTCTCTCACTCACTATCTCTCCCACTCTTTCTATCTCACTCTCTCTTTCACTCACTCTCTCGTTCTCTTTCTCTCTCTGTGTGTCTCAAATATTGGTATAAAACTTACTAATCTTAAGATTTCTAATCGATTACGTAAATTATTTGAATTTCTGTCTCTGTAGTGTTCTTTTTGTTGTTTTTTTTTACAACTTCACCGTTTCTTAATCGCCCCGTCTTTAGAATTCTCAGTATCCTTCTGTAGAACAACGTATCTGTTGCTCATAGTTTTCTCCTCATACGTCTAGAGACTGTCCAACACTTACTGCCATACAAGAGGATGGACATCACAAACCAATTCAGCAACCTTTTCTTTAATAAAATTAATATCTCATATATATATTACCGTAAAATGTGTCATGGTTTGAATAAGCAGAATCTTGCTTAACTATTAAAGTTGGATACACGCTAGTTCTTTCTTCTGTGAGCCATGTTTCTTCAGGTTGTTGGCGATCATGGCTCTCCACAATTTTCTGTCCTTTGCAGCTCTTAATAAATATTGTCTTTTTGTTATCTCTCTTAAACCCTGTTCCGGCAGCCGCTAGATAAGTCATGCGCTATTTACCTCTGTCCCTCTTGCCTTCAATCTGTCTTGTGAGTATCAAATTTTCCAA